TATTTTATAACCGTGCTTGAAATTGAAATTTTCATCTTTTTATGACCTTGTTAATACGGAAAAATGAAGAAGAGTTTAAAAATACATCGAACTAATCTATCTATGGATGACAGTTTGCGTGTCCTATTGTTGTTTCACATTTATCTATGTTACATCAATACTTTCTTATCTTTTTTATTTATTTCTCTCTCTCTCTCTCTCTCTCTCTCTCTCGATGAGATGCATAAGATACGAGAATCTACACCAATATCTTAATTTTTTTTATTTAAACCGTGATAAACATTTATTAAAATTCTTTACATTAACATAACGATTCGTAGTATACACGTATGACAAAATATATATACAAAAACGAAAGATAAATGAATTCGTGTTATTTGACAATAACGTGTGTTAATATTTAATGACAACATTATATATATTTTTGATAAAGCTTTTAAATAGCAAGTAAGAGTAAAGAAAACACTCGTCGTCGTACAAATGAAATCATTTCTAATCGAGAGAGAGAGAGAGAGAGAGAGAGAGAGAGAGAGAGAGAGAGAAAAAAGAACGATACATTAAATTTCGTCACGAGACCCGCGCATGCGCACACTCCTTATAACCTTTTACTCTTTTGTTTTTTTATTTTTCTTTTTTTCCTTTTTTTTTTGTTTTTTCATACAACAAGTTTAAGAGGAAACATTAAACGAATCCTTTAATTTCGTTATGATTGATTGATGATAACACAATATAAACAACACTCGCGAAATAACACGAATCAAAAATTGACATTTTGTAATCTTACGTAAAAGACTAATCATTTGAAATAAATGAAATAATTGATAAGATAATTGAATGATATATCCAATAATTATATTACCACGTGCCATTACCTTATTTCTTATGTTAGAGATGAGATCGATCTTCTTCCCCTTCTTCTCAAAGACTGAATTGGTGCCAATATGTAGTAACCCGTTTTTAACCTCGTCCTCGTCCTTAATATTCCTCGTTATTCCACTTTACGATTAATCCACGTCGTCGTCGTCTTCGTTGTTTATAGCTAAAGCTACGTCGATTTAATATATACACCATTTATTACAAGATTATTTTCAATTATTCCAACGAATACTTTATAATGTTCTAACCTTAACGTTTGGTGGTATAGAGGATAGATGAAAAAGCGCGGGATTACATTTTTAGTTCGATTCGTAGCTCACAGATGGCGCCCCTCATTTCTTCGATTAATCGAAACACCTGTGTATATCGATTGCATCGAGACAGCTGGTTACGAGGCTTTGTTTTTTAGGCGCGTAATACAAAATTTCGTAGAAAGGATTAAACGTGTGATAAAAAATAATGAAAGGGAATCGAGGAAAAATCGATAAACATATAATAATAATAATAATAATAAATATCTATGTTAAATTAAAGCAAATGAAATTAACAAGTCGTTCTTTTTAGCAACCATTGTACGAAACATGATCATTTATTCGTTCTTTCATATATTTAATTATGAATAAAAATATAACTCCCAATAAATAAACGATAAATAAAAATCTCTATTTTTTAAATTGTCTTCAATTTACGAATGTTTTCTTTTTCTTTTAAACTTTTCTCATCCATCGAGAAAACACTTTGTTATAATAATTAATTAATTAATTAATTAATTATCTCTCTCCCCATCATCTACTTTGCTTGTCCGATTTTCTTAGATCATAATAATGTGTATACGTAATTTCTATACGTCTTTTTTTAATCTCACCTACCTATTTTTCTCAGCCATCTTTTCTCACATTCCTTTCATTTCCAAAGATAACAGATGAACGAACATGTTGATTTATTTTCTTCTATTCTTTTTCATTTTATTTTCTTTTTATTAAGAAAGGAGCCTGGTGGTTAATTCTCACGTACCGTTAAAGGTTTCTCTAACGTAATCTTTCGCATAACAGACTTTCATAGCAAGCTCTCTCACTTTCACACACACTCACACTCTCTCTCTCTCTTCCCATAAGAATCTGTCGGGAAACTGTGTCGTTTCTTCAATCTTATTTTATTTCTTCAGCAATTCTCCTCAATTATGTACAAAAATATAATGAGAATCGATAACCGTGTGTTACAGTGTTCGTATTATTTTTTTTTTTTTTCTTTTTATTATTAACATTAGGTACGCGACAATAGATAGACGCATGCAACCAAACCGTCCATTCAAACTTTCAGCTCTTCTTTTTAAACGCCATTCCCCATAAGACAACAACAGACGGTCGCCATGGATGTGATCGAATTATATCGCGCCGATATATTATTTTATATTTTATATTTCATTTTATTTTATTTTATTTTATTTTATTTACTTCTTTTTCCTTCCTTTCGTTTTATTTGTAATTTTTTTTTCTTCTTGTTTTTTTCTTTTTTTTTTTTTTTTTTTTTTTTTTTTTATACGACGTTCTTTATCATCGATCAATTCTAAAGTTTTTTATTATAATCATTATTTTATACGTATATACCTCCCTCCACACTCTTTTGAAT